GCCGGCTGGGGCGGCTGCGCGCACGGCGCCTCTCCACCAACCCGCTCCCCTGCAGGTCCCCCGCTCGCTCTCCATCCCTCGCCCGCGCTCCCTCTCCCCCCCCCACCCGCCCTTTGATTGACAGGCAAGATGTCGGTGTGGAGCGAGGCAGGAGCGATTGCAGCAGCCGTCACCCCCGGAGCCCGGCGGCGACAGCAGCAGCAGCAGCAGCAGCGCGGGGAGGAGACAGCAGCCAGCCGCAGTGGCCGCCGCAGCCGCGGGAGCACTGCAGACAGCATCCTGAGAACGCGCTGAGGCACTCCGAACGGTGGACCATGCCGTGTCACTGCAGCGGGGAGGGGGTCAACCCAGATTTTTTTTGACATAAAAGCAAGTCAGCCAAAAATATATAATTTTGTCCTTCACGGAGCCGGTGTGTAAAGAGTGAGCGCTATTTTCCTTTTCCTCCTCCTCCTGCTCTCCCTCCTCCTCCTCCTCCTACTCCTCTTTCCTCCTCCTTCCTAAGTGTACAGACAGCATCACATCACCTGGTTGGCTTCTGAGAAACAGCATCTCTCCTTTTCAGGGACCAGAGACTCAGAGAATGGAGACATTCTAATGGAGTCTGCTCGATACCCCAAAATAAAATAATAAATTTTGGCTCTTGTCCCCTCCTCCCGCCCCCACCCCCTCAACCCTGTGTGAGATGTTGGATTTCTTCTTCACGAGACACTGTTGAGAAGTCGCAGTGGCTGGAGAGGCGTAGGGGATAGACGGCCTCTACCCCCCCATCCCCCTTTTTTCTCTCTGGGAGGAGGAGGAGGGGAAGGGGGGTTGCAGAGCGAGCGATGGATGAGGAAAACATGACGAAAAGCGAGGAGCAGCAGCCTCTGAGTTTGCAAAAAGCCTTACAGCAGTGCGAACTGGTCCAAAACATGATAGACCTCAGTATCTCCAACCTAGAAGGGCTTAGGACCAAATGTGCTACCTCCAACGACCTCACACAAAAAGAAATCCGGACCCTGGAGGTAGGTGTTGCCTACGGGGGAAGAAGCAATCCTTCCCTCTCTCCCCTTTCTACCGACCATCCGCTCTCCCTGTGGTTCTGTTGGCTGGGGTTGGGGGTGGGGGGTGATAAGCTAGGTGGGCACGATTTGGTTTTCTGTGATTTTTATCTTATTGCAAAACCTGCGCTGGATATTCCTTTACTGTACTGCTGTCGTCTACGCTTGGCTGGGTGGTGGTGGTAGTAGTAGTAGTAATTGTTATTCTTTATTATTATTGTTGCGGCTGTTAACCGTTCTCATTCGGTTCCTCTCCGAGGAGGGAGTTCTCTCTTTTTTTCCGCTTGTGGATTTGTTTATGTGCCACGGGGGCTTGTGTGCTGGGTAAGACATTAAAGAGCTGCAGAGAACCCACGTGACCTTGCGCATTCTGCAGGTGGTCAAAAGGTGGTTTTTGCTTGCAGAATGGGGCTGTCTATAAATGTAGACCTCTTCTCTCGGCCTCCTTCCCAGCCCCCCACCCCACCCCCTCCCTCTTTTTGTTCCCTGGATTCTGCCCCCCCCCCGAATATACATGTCAAGAGGCAAGATGCATTAAAAAAAAAATTCCCCATTGAGCTACCCATTTCCAATGAAATCCTTTTGATGTAGTGAGTTGTTGCAGTCCCAAAATGTATAAAAAGAAAAAAAAAAAAAAAAGCCTGGATCAGCACACCTAGGTAGTGTGGGAAAATACTCTTGAATCTCCGTGGACCGCTGGGAAAGGGGTCGGGGAGGAGGAGTTATCTTTGGCATGTTTAAACATTCTCTCTAACAGAACTTGAGGGGGAGTTTGAAGCAGTTTTGGGGGACTGGGATGGGATGGGGGATGGATGCAAAGTTACTCAGAAAGAAGGTGGCAGAAATTATTTCTTCCGAAGGCCGTTTGGTCAAAGGAGGAAGGTTTCAAGAGCCTTAGGAAATGCCTGAGGTCCACAAAAATCACTGGGCATCTGCGTGTTCATAACGTCTGAAGTGTTCAATTCACTTTCTTCCCTTAAACTGGCCCAGCTGTACACATGCCTTGATTAAATTTGGGAGCTCCCATTAGCTGGCATTTGCTGAGGATGGTGGCCGTGGGGCTGGGAGCAGAGGAGTTCTGGACTTGGTGGGCTGAGTATGTGCTTGCTGTGCTGGGAAGTTCACCCCGTTTCTGGCTCATGAGTTCCCAGGGCCTGAACTCATTAGTCCTTGCTGAATCGTGTAGTTCTTGTGGCCCTGTTCTAGCCTGGATGAGCACTTCTCCCTGATTCACTTTCAGGTCTTTCTTTTTTTTTCCATGGTTTTAAATTTGGCTGGATGTCACCATGCAGGAGGTCATCCCTTTGAAAGAGGAGTTAGTGTGTATGTGTGTGTGTGTGTATGTGTTTTAATATGCTGTCTGCTACCCTAGGAGACATGTCTATGTGCACCTGTCACCTGGGAACATGATCCTCAGAAATGAAATAAGATAAATGTCAAGGAGTATTGGAGGAGTGGGAATTGTGTTGGGAGGCACGGGTATTGCCTTTCTCTGAGCTTAGGCGAGCAGGCTAGGCTAGGACTCTGCTGCTGGAAGAAAAAAGTGTGGGATGCTCTGGCCCAGTATTCTGTCTCTGTTCGAACAGTTCCCAAGAGTAGATTCCATTTAGAACTGCATGCAGTAAATAAATAAATAACCCCAAAAGGCCACCTGGGATCTCTTTTGTTCTTCTGAGTCAGGAGTTCCAAGGGTATTGCCTTTCTCTGAGCTTAGGCGAGCAGGCTAGGCTAGGACTCTGCTGCTGGAAGAAAAAAGTGTGGGATGCTCTGGCCCAGCATTCTGTCTCTGTTCGAACAGTTCCCAAGAGTAGATTCCATTTAGAACTGCATGCAGTAAACAAATAAATAACCCCAAAAGGCCACCTGGGATCTCTTTTGTTCTTCTGAGTCAGGAGTTCCAAATGCTACTTTGTGTATTACTATGTAAGTTTCTCCAGAGTTTTCTTTTTCTCTTTTCAAACATGTCCCATCTTCTGATAACTCCCTGGATGGTGAAGATTGACACACTGGGCCTTGGGTTCTCTTGCTTTCTTTCTGCATAGTGGTTTTTCTTTTTATACTGGGGGATGGAGGTATTGGTATGATGGTGGTGGTGATGGGGCGGGGGGAGTTGCAGTTGCAGGGGATGCATTTGTTTGTAGTTTCCTGGTCCCAGTACGCTGCAGAGCATGCCAACCACTTCATCCTTATTGCCTAGGGAATGGTCTTGAGTGGTTATGCCAATTTAGATTTCCCAGATCTCTAGGGCTAGGGAGGGGCAACTGAGGAGGGGCTGGTGACTCGGGGTCCAGCCAGTTTTCTATCCCAGTAGTTGCCAAATTTTTGTATCTCAAAACCACATGAGGCTGCTTGTTAAAAAGCAGATTCTCAACCTCTAACCCCAGAGATTATAATTCAGTTGGGATTGGAGAAAGGGCCCAGGAATCTGCCTTTAGTAAACAGTCCATGTGTTTCTAATGCATGTTTTCATCTTGACACTGAGAAATATTAATCCCTGAGAAGATAGTTGTCATGTTTCAGCTATTTAATGGTAAAAACTCCATGCTCACTAACACTAAAGTAAGTAATAAATTGAATAGACTATCCCTGAAAACCTTGATAAAAAGCAACATTTAGCAGCATGCATACACTCCTGTAGAAACAAAACTATACAACATGGATTTGGCCTTCAAGAAGCATACTTCATGGTTAGGGAGACAAGGCCAATAGTATCTATTTGAAATAATGATAAAGACCAAACAATAAATAATAGGGGGGACAGCATGTAGGTCCATTGAGAATGTGTTCAGCTGCATGAAATGGAAAACTCAACCCCAATGGTGAAACAAATAGTGATTTCTTTTTCTCATGTGACAAGAAGTCTGGAGGTACGTAGCTGCTTGAGTTGGCTTAGCAGGCCAATAATAGCAGAACTCTTGTCTTTGAGAATTCTGATGGCCTTTCCCTTATGGTTGCAAGATGGCTCCTGTGGTTTCAACTGTTACATCTGGATTCAAGGTAGGAAGGAGAAGGACCAGGTCAGTGTGAAAGAATAAAGGGTTCGTACCTTTGTTTCAGGACTCCTCCTCCTCCCCACCCCACTGATGATGTTTAATAATGTCTTCTGGGCTAGAGCTGGGTCAGTCCTAGCTGCAAGGGAGGCTGGGAGGTGAGGAAGTGAGAACACCATCATGATAGGCTTAGACGGATCATGATCGATTGCCTGGCTTGACTGTTTCCTCCCCATACAAAATCAGGGTTCTGGTAGCATTAAAAACGATGTGAGTGGACATTGGGTGGACAGAGAGCAACGTCAGACACAGTATGTTGCTAGCAAATGTTTTAGTGGAAAAGAAAATTCATGAGCTTAGAAGTTAGATTGATGTAGCTTTGAATTCTACCTTTTCTACTTACTTTATCTTAGGCTAGTGATTTAAATTTTCTGACCCATAGTTTAACTTTTTTTTTTTTTTGCAAAATTACAGTAATAGAATAATATTACCTACCTCAGAGGGTGATCGTAAGGTTTAGAAGAGATGACATTTTCAAGGGCCTACTTCTATCTCAAACACAGTGCCTGCAGGTGCTGAATATATAGCTACTGTGATGATGATGACTTGCAGTATATAGTGTGGAATAGATGACATGGGAGGGAACAGTGCAGATCAGAGCGACAGAAGGAGCTTGAGCAGCATTTCTGAAGTATGTTCTGTAGAACCCCAATTATGTGGGATGTTAGCATTTTTTATTCTTCCAACAAATTCTGGAATCCAGGCACTGTACTGGATGCTGGTGGTCAACAAATGTTCTGTGGCCAGAACTAATTCTATGATTAACTAGTTTGGGAAAGGTTGAATTAAGCAAAGAGAAACAGGCATCTTTACTGCAGGACTTCTCAGGGACTTTAATATGTTATATATGTACATTTTGCCTCCAAGAGAGGAGAGAGTCTGCAGTATTTCCTTTTTCCAAAGATTTCTCTCTGGATTTTTATTCCATAGGGTACTTCTGGGAATCATTTGGCAAAGCAGCTAGGGAAGTGTTCTTAATTGGGAAGATGGGGATTTGGAATGGAGTCAAGCATGGGTAGGGTTTAGATTGCAACAAAAGGGGAGAGCTCACTAGACAAGAACAACAAGCCAGATGAAGTAGTTATCATGCCTTCATGGGGCAGCATAGAGACCAGTTTGTCCAGAATGGAGGCTGTCTGATAGCATGTTGTCTTAGTCTGTTTTGTGCTGCTATTACAGAATATCACAGACTAGGTAATTTGTAAAGAAAAGAAGTTGATCTGGCTCACGGTTCTGGAGGCTGGGAAGTCCAAGAGCATGGTGCCAGCATCTGCTTGGCATCTAGTGAGGGCCTTCTTGCTGCATCACCCTCTGGGGGAAGGCAAAAGGGCAAGCGAGTGTACAAGACAGAGAGAGAATGAGGGTCAAACTTCACCCCCCTATCAGGAACCCAGTCCTGTAATAACAGCATTAATCCCTTCATGAGGGTGGAGCCCTCATGACCTAATCATTTCTTAAAGATCCCACCTCTTAATACCATCACAATGGCAATTAAATTTCAACATAGCAAACAAATTTAGGTCACTAACTCTTGGGGTCTGACTAGGATGGGGAGGCAGGCCAACAAAGTCTCATCCCTTTGAAGGAGGGGATAAAAGTCTTCAAAGGTTTTGGAGTGAATACAATAAAAAGGATGTTTAAAGGCTAGTCTCATGGCAGCTGTAGCAAGGGCTAGCAAGCTATTTCTGCAAAAGGCCAGATAGTAAGTAGTTTAGGCTTTGCGGCCCCTGCTGTGTCGATCACAACTACTCAACTCTGCTGTTGTAGCATGCAGCAGCCATGGACAATACGTACATGAATGGGTGAGACAGTTTTCCAATAAAACTTTATGGATCCTGAAATTTGAATTTGATATAATTTTCACATGTCACGAAATATTATTTTTCCTTTTGATTTTTTTGACACTTAAAAATG